ACACACACACACACACACACACACACACACACACACACACACACACACACACACACACACACATATTGTGATTTTCTAAAACCTTTAAAAGATCAAGGAGTTTCTATCTGAGAACAAACAGAAGTCATTTTAATGAAGGATTTTTGAGTCTAATCTGCCACCTGGTGTTCACATCGACCAGCTACAACTACAGAAACACAACTAAACTATAAAAAACAGAACTTGATTTAAACGTATTTATTTATTTATTTATTTATTTATTTATTTATTTATTTATTTAACTCCTGAGTTGAGTCTGATCTTCAGGAGCCGTGATGATCTAATTTCCTCCGAGGATTAATGAAGTCATCTAAATATCTCTGCAGGCTGTRAAGAGGACGAGGACAGAAGACGAGGACTGAGGAACACAATGCAATCGATGTGAGTGCAGATTAATCTAAAAAAAACAACAACAAACACCCGAGTGTCACAACATCATTTYCATATTGTGTCAGATCTGTCACCGTCACAGAGCTCAGGGCTTTTCTACGACAGCAGCTGCGTGTCCAGAAATTATAATTAGAAACCTGACTCTGTCTCATCCAGTCAGCCATCAGTCACATTTACTGAACCTCATAAATCTAACTACACATCTATAGATACTATAAATACTTCTTACTCAAGGTAAAGTATCAAAACACTCAGTATTTCAATCTTTAATGCATTTTATCCTCTTTAAACAGAAGCATTAAGAACATCTGCTGAGTTCTAATCCTCCAGGCCTTTAATGGATGTTAATGAACACACATGACCAGCTTCAGATGATGTCAACAGTAATTACACACTAAGCAGTAATTACACACTAAGCAGTAATTACACACTAAGCAGTAATTACACACTAAGCTCTTCTGGACGCTTTCTGACCTGCGCCGTTTAAGATTCAGTCAGACGTTCACCTGCAGACTCAGGAGTGTTTACAGCTGATGAATTATTCAGGCTGCTTTTTTATTTATTAGGASAGGATGAAATGCAAACAAGTGTTTGAAAGTTCAGGTGAGAGGTCAAAGGTCAGAGAATAAACCTGAAGGATCTGAAGTCAGAAATATGATTAATCACATTCTGTAAAACTGATTTATAAAACCATTTTGCACCAATAGTTCCTCTTCCATCCTCCATCCTCTTCTTCAACCTCCACCATACTTTTCCTCCATCCTAATCCCTCCTCTTCGATCCTCCATCCTCCTCCCGTCTTCAATCCTCCATCCTCCTCCCGTCTTCAATCCTCCATCCTCCTCACATCTTCAATCCTCCATCCTCCTCCCGTCTTCAATCCTCCATCCTCCTCCCGTCTTCAATCCTCCATCCTCCTCACATCTTCAATCCTCCAACCTCCTCCCGTCTTCAATCCTCCATCCTACTCCCGTCTTCAATCCTCCATCCTCCTCCCGTCTTCAATCCTCCAACCTTCTCCCGTCTTCAATCCTCCATCCTCCTCCCATCTTCAATTCTCCAGTCTCCTCTCCGTCTTCAATCCTCCATCCTCCTCCCATCTTCAATCCTCCAACCTCCTCCCATCTTCAATCCTCCATCCTCCTCCCATCTTCAATCCTCCATCCCCCTCTCCATCTTCAATCCTCCATCCTTGTCCCTCCTTTTCAATCCTCCTCCCTCCTCTTCAACCCTCCATCTTCCTCTCCATCTTCAATCCTCCATCCTCATCCCTCCTCTTCAATCCTCTTCCCTCCTCTTCAACCCTCCATCCTCCTCCTGTCTTCAATCCTCCATCCTTGTCCCTCCTTTTCAATCCTCCTCCCTCCCTCCTCTTCAACCCTACAATCTCCTCCCCCGTCTTCAATCCTCCATCCTCCTCTCCGTTTTCAATCCTCATCCCTCCTCTTCAATTCTACAACCTCCTCCCCATCTTCAATCCTCCATCCTTGTTCCTCCTTTTCAATCCTCCTCCATCCTCTTCAACCCTCCATCCTCCTCTCTGTCTTCAATCCTCCATCCTCATCCCTCCTCTTCCCTCCTCTTCAACCCTTCATCCTCCTCCCATCTTCAATCCTCCATCCTTGTCCC